TGAGTGCTAGGCCACCTCCGATCACAACGTACGGCAAAACTACAAATATTTACTTGTTGGTCACTTTCTGCACCGACAATGGGGGTACAAGAGGTCTGGTCGGACTCCTGCCAGAAGGGCCGAGAGTGACGGGAGCCCCGCTATGAACTAAGTGTTCGATCGTGTGCTCGTGGTTCGAACTTGGCGGTTCTGTGGTTGTGTGCTAGTGAACTTGATCGATCTAATGAATCTGAATTGACTTGAATGGATTTTAACCTCCTTCTTTGGGAGAGAGCACATCCCTTTTTATAGATGAAGGGGATGGCTTTACAAGTGAGAGGGAGAGAGCGCATATGCTATTGAGCCTTGTTACCCACGTCGGTGGGTACATGATGATGGTAGGCGCCTACAATACTATTGAGTGTCAGAGGCATGTGGGAGGTCGTGTCGTCTTCTTCAGGTATGGCAGATGTCGGTACCTGCTATACTATTGGTGCCCAGAGGCACGTGTGGGGTTTTACCATGTTCGCCCGGTACGGTAAATGCCGGCGCCCACAACACTGTTGATGCCCAGAGGCATGTGGGGGGAGCCTTACCGTATGGGAGTTAATGGCGCCCATAAAATTGTAGGGGAAAATTTCGGTGCCTACAACACTATTTGGGCTCTGTCGTGTCAGGGAGGTTGCAGAGTACGATTTCTATAGATGTACAGGGTACGGTCCCCAGTATTGTGGTTTGACTTGTGCGCCCTGTCTTACTTTCTCCGTCCCATTTGGTCCTTACCGAAAGCAAGGCCCCCGGTCGGTGGGTCTGATGAAACGGCTCGATCGCTAGTCAAGAAGAAGCGGTGGCGAGGGTTGGCGCACCCCGGTCGGAGGGACCGTCCGGAGGTGGGCCAGAGACCGAAGCGGGCGCTCCGGTCGGATAGGCGGGCCGGAGTCAGAAGCGGGCACCGTTCCTCCTCGACTAGGCCTTCTGGTCGGTGATTGGATCGCCCTTCTGGCCTGTCGTTCAGGTACTTGGGCCGGCCCATGAGTTGAACGTTTGTGTTTCAACGTTGTTTGCTGAGCCGAGCCTTTGTTGGGAAGCCGGTCCGCGAGGGACCCCAGGTTTATGAACCCGACACTAGGTTAATGCAAGCTTCTGACATAAGTTACAGGGCACATATGCGTGAAAGGCCTAGGCTCCTAAAACTCACAGTGTTGCCTGCAAGTTGTGCGATTCCTACACTTGGCCTAGAAAGATACGTTGTTTTTTATTCATTTCATATGCCTAGCTCAAAATTAACATAAAATCTTGAACGACGGAGTGGCTTCCTTGCTACAATGCATTATCCATTTGATGCCTCTGGCTTTTCTCAAATGAAGTCGTAGCGCCCTTTGCAAGCCTCTCCGATAGGTTGCAAAGCTACTAATTTCTTACATGGATACTCACTACGGAGTTGGATGATGAGGCAATATGCTGCGGTGAAGCGATGGGAGAGCCTTGATTGGTGATTTTTTTTGTTTTGCTTGAGCAAGAGAGCTGAATTAGCTTACCTACCTCATCAAGGATTTGCTTATTGCGGTTGACTAGCTTGCCCTAGCAAAGCAAATTTAGGGTCTGTTTGGCTTTCTCCACCTCACCTAACCTCGCTCAGTTAGAATAAGATAAGGGATAACAATTTGGTTGGGAGACAAGCTTACATAGAGTTTATGCTGGCAAGAAAAAACCTTGTTATCATAAGAGAGCCAATCTGGCTCACCCATGCTGGTAAGGTTAACCCTGCTCTTGTTGGCAAGGCTTGGCAAAGCTTACTTGGGAACCAAACTGACCTTAGCTATCAAACATATTCCCTCCATCTCAAAGGTGATGTTTAAATCTGGGGCTAAAGTTTAGGGGTGTCACATCGGGTGTTATATGTAGTTGTCACATGGGAGTGTTCAGATAGTAATAATAAAACAAATTATAGAAGTCCTCAGTGATCCGCGAGACGAATTTATTAAGCCTAATTAATCCATCATTAGCACATGTTTACTGTAGCACAACATTATCAAATCGTGAACTAATTAGGCTTAAAAAATTCATCTCGCAAAGTAGTCGCAATCTGTGCAATTAGTTATTTTTTTAGTCTGTATTTAATATTCCATGTACGTGTCCAAACATATGGTGTGATAGGGACTAAACTTTAGGGGAACTAAATAAGGCCTAAAATAATGTAATTCTTCTTTTTTGATGAGTCAATTAATATCACTTTTGATCAAATTTATAAAAACAATAATATTTAGGTTGTGTAATAAGTACTATTAGAATAATAATGAAATATATTTTCATAATAAACCCACGTGGACTTGAGGACATTTGACTTATTCTAAAGCTCCAACTATAAGTATGCGTTTGGTTCAGGGGATAGGTGAGGACGGGACGGGACGAGCCCGATTCCGATGCTGTTTAGTTGGGAGGCAGCTGAAGTGGGATCATCCCACCTATAGAATATCCCAGGAATATTCCTGTGAAACTGGGGCGAGCTCGTCCCTGAAAATTTGCCGGGCAGAGTCATCCCACCTTTGCGGCCGTCACCTTCCGTTTCATCGCGTGCTGGACATGGCGGATAGGGTGGCGGCCTCCGAGCGGGCACGGACGACCACGGCGAGCTCCAGACGGCGCAGCACGGACGACATCCAAGCGGGTGGTGGCGGCAACGGATGGCCGAGGCGGGCGGCGGCGTGGCGGGCGAGAGGGGCGGCGTGGCCGGGCGGGCGGCGGCCGTGCGTGTTGCAGGACGCGCTGGGATGGGGCAGATCCGGACGGTGGCAGCGGCCAATCTCTGCTAACGTGCGCTTGCCGCGGATGAAGAAGGGGAAGGATTTTGTTTATTTATTATGTATAATATAAAAGGAGAAACAAGATTGACATATATATAGTAAAAGGAAAAAAGATTTACACATGGGTCCTGGTGGGGCCCACTATAACAGTAGCTAACGGCGTCAAATTTCTCATCTATTCTATTCCTATTTATCCTTTCAACCAAACACAAAATAGATCCATCCCGTTCCATCTCAACCAAACGCAAAATAGGATGGTCCTATCTCCATCCCGCCCAAAAAAATAAAGATAGGATCATCTCACCTTATCTTTGACTCCCAACCAAACGCTACCTAAGTAGCCGTGCGTGGTATTGTTTTTAGAATCAAGATAGCATGAGCACGTTTGAAATGGGCCATTGGCAGCCAGGCAAAGCCCCAAACAGTCCAACACCACGCACGGCGGCCGACAGGGGCGGATCGCGATCCGTGGCAGCTCTGCAGGAGGCATCCCCGCCGTCAAATCCACCCTGATCCAAGGGCTCCCCTATCGCCGAAACCCAGTTCCTCTTCCGCCCCCCACGCCGCGGTCGCGCTCCCCGGATCCCTCCAACCCCCCGAATTTTTGCCCAAAACCGCAAAGAAATTTCAAGCCGCGCGCCAATTCCCGAAATCCCACCGCTACTTAAACGCACCCAACCCCCCGCCGAATCACCACTCCAGGCAGCACACCAAAAATCTCCCAAAACTCTCTTGTTTCCGAGCCCAAATCACCCACTCCCACCCCGAATGGCCCGCACGAAGCAGACGGCGCGCAAGTCCACCGGCGGCAAGGCGCCGAGGAAGCAGCTGGCGACGAAGGCGGCGCGGAAGTCGGCCCCGGCGACCGGCGGCGTGAAGAAGCCGCACCGTTTCCGCCCGGGCACCGTCGCGCTGCGCGAGATCCGCAAGTACCAGAAGAGCACGGAGCTGCTCATCCGCAAGCTGCCCTTCCAGCGCCTGGTCCGCGAGATCGCGCAGGACTTCAAGACGGACCTCCGCTTCCAGTCCTCCGCCGTCGCCGCGCTGCAGGAGGCCGCCGAGGCTTACCTCGTCGGGCTCTTCGAGGACACCAACCTCTGCGCCATCCACGCTAAGCGCGTCACCATCATGCCCAAGGACATCCAGCTCGCCCGCCGCATCCGCGGGGAGCGCGCTTAGGCGTTTGCGTATCGCTCGCCACGCGTGGTTGTCACTACTGTAGGTGTTCGGTATATCAATTCTCGTCATGTTATAGGTCTGCGTTTAGGATCTGTTCTCGTCATGTTCGGGGTCCGCGTTGTTCAAAAGTTTGTAGTTTCGTCCTGTGTGGTAACGCTATCAATGAACTATGCCTATCTGTTTCAGAGAAATGCACTGATCTATGCTTCTCTTCGCGATGTGGTTGCTGATGATGGTGCCTGCTTTCTGGATGCATGCTTGGAATGGGCCTTGGTAAATTGTGGCAGGTGGTTACTTTTTGCTTGCAATGGTTTCTTACTTTTGTAAGATTCAATTCCTAGTAAACTGTTGATTAACAAGGTGGATCTATCATCATTAGCCCTTAAAGAAAATGTTGAGAACAAATTGAAACTTACTGTATTTGCATCCTTTGCAGTAAGATGTGATGTTCTGACCTGTACTGTCAACTGATTATGTTTTTACTATTTATAGCAAGTGTAATTTGTTGTGGTTTCGTACAAGTGAAACAACTGGCAATGGCATGACTTTGCCTATTATTAGAAACCTTTTTTTTAAACAAATTGTCTTATAATCATCCTATACTTGCTTTTGGGAGTGAACTGTGATCTAAACTACAATTTAGATGTCTCTTGTCTTATAATGTCACTAGTTACTCTTTGGTTTCTCTTATACTCTAATTTCAGAGAGTGTATCTTGATTTCAGAGTGATCTGGAAATTATGCTAGCATTAAGAGCACAATTGTTGAACTGTGTTGAACAATATTTGGAATTTGTTTTTTTTCAAAGAAAGTGAACGGGCCATAAAGTCTGAATTCTTAACAACATACTCTATTCAATCTAACAAGTACCACATGTAGCAATCCTGTACGACTAAAACAACTACATACCATCCTCATTCAGTCATTCTTGGTTCAGTGCTTGAAGTTTAAACCTGATTATTTCCTAACACATCAGTGCTGCTATCTTCTGTTATGATATCATGGTTTAAACAACACTGTATGTCTGACTAGATGATGCCTAAGGGCTACATAGCTTCGAAAGATCGAAAGGTGGATATGAATAGGAGGCGCTGATCACTGCATAGGCTATCTTGTTATTTGCAGCTTGAGTGGCATGTATCCCATCCCAGCTGACATAGTTTTGCGGGTCTCCACAAGCCCCTGCCGTTGCAGTTTTGCCGTTCACTACCTTGCTGTTTCTGCAGTAAACATCCTGATTGAAATTGTATGTTCCACCGCCATATCCACAGCAAGCTCTAGTCCCGTTCACTGCCTCGCTGTTTCTGCAGTAACATTTATATCTCCAAATAAGTTTATTATGAAAGTATATTTAACGATCTATCTAATGATGGTAATTATATATTATAATTATAATTATTCTTTTATATATAATTGATCAAAGTTTAAAAAAACTGACTTCTCGGGAAGCGAAAATGACTTCTATTTTGGGACAGAGGGAGTACTTCAGCCCTGAGATGAACACCAGATCATTCAATTTTTCTATCAGATGTAAATGTGAACCAAATTCGCAGTGACAAATATTTAGAAGAGCTTACCGTGAGCCGTTGGGTGTTGGAACAGCTCAAGCGTTACGGTATGCTTGTCGACATACACGACCGACGCATCCTGCAGCTTCTTTCTGACCTCGGCTAAGCTGCTGTTCAGTAACTCGTTGTAGTATGTCGCTCCACTATTGTAGCTTTTCATGCATCCAAATTCATCCAAGTCGTTGCTGTTATGAGGAAGCTCCGTGAGGAATGCTGGGTAGCATCCTACGGGCGCCATGTTGAACACCATGAAGTTGCGAGCTCTGATGTTATACAAGTCCTATCAGACAAAATATGCATGAACAATGGAATCAACTGAATCTCCTCTGCTCTTTTGATCATTTCAGTAATTCAACTTGAAGTAGCAGATGATTCTACTACACTACTTACCTGTATTGTCCAGGAGATCTGGTTGACAATTGAAGGTACATTTCGCTTGACGCTTTCGACGCCAAGGGATCCAAGGTTTGAGGTAAAATCATTCTGTCCGATGTCAATTGTATACAGAGCGTTGCCGAAGACATCCGGACGAGGGAGTTGGCCTGCAAAGCAACCAAGCATCTCTGAACCTTCCTGTCTGAACTCTGAAGTTCAGAGCATTTTTTTCAGAGGCTTGACTGAAAGAGACAGGGTTCAGTACTGTGGTGGCATACCGTTGTTGCCGTTGGAGGCGAGCACTCTGTTCCTGAACTCTTTCATCTGGTTGAGCTGGATACCGAGGGAGAAAGGGGCTGGTCCCGGTGACGAACACCGACGTGTTGGGCAGCAGCACCGTGGACGCCAGCGTCGCGAAGTTGGCGCCGTGCCGGTAGTCCGACCCGATGGACTGCAGGTACGGGCTCGGCAGCGGCAGCCCCATCGCTTGCGCTGTTGGTCGGACAAACACCAACTTTTTTTCAGATTTTTTTTTTCAGAAACAGAAGCGATGGATATGAAGCACGCGATGCGTGTACGCAAGAGGTACGTGCCTATGAGGTCGATGACGAGGTGGCCGTCGGAGGCGCGGCCGGCCGGCCTGCCGAAGTATGTCATGCCGAACGGGCCCTGCTGCGCCGGGAAGGCGGCCCAGAAGCCGCCGGTGTCGGAGTTGGAGTCGCCGAAGTTGAAGACGGCAGGGAACTTGCAGCGCCCGGTCCCGGCCCTCGCCGCCGGGGAGGCGCAGCACAGCGCCGTCGCCACGAGGAGCAGCGGCATGGCACGTTTGTAGTGTAGTGTAGAGAACGGTGGCGACATGGCACGTTTGTAGGCGGCACAGTTCCTGCTGTTGAGCTGGAAATTTGTCTCCTCCTTCGTAGTAATAAAAACTATCTTCGGGATTGCTAGCGTTGAGCTGGAGCTTGGCTGCACGTCTGCACGGGGAAGGAGAGGACGGCCGCCGCCGCGACGCCATGACAAAGCGGCAGTTCTGTGCCGTCACTAGAGATACTGGTGTGAACTGTGAAGTGGAGTCCAGCGACCGACAGATGTTTTGGACATTGTTGGACACTTGGATCATTCCGATTTCGGACGCTGCTACTATAGCCTTGCATCTATCCTCTGAAGCTCTGACCAAACAGTGGAATGTCCATGCAGTGGAGACTGTACGCAAGCCAACAATGAGAGGACGACGCTCGGCGGCGGACGCGAAGCGGTGCGAGGAAACTGCTGAAAAACGATGAACTAGCCAGCCACTGAAAAATGAAGAAGTAGTCAGCCAATGGATATACTCACTAAGACAAGTGCGTGCCGTTTCTCGACGAGAAACATCACTCAGTCAATCATGTCGTACAGTAATAGATAGGCTGAGAAAAGATCCAAACGTGAATGAAACGGTGCAAAAAATGTTTTTAAGAAAAACACCAAACGGGTGACGGTATACAAGTACAACATACAAATCGTGTTACTCGGTTCACAGAGCTAGGGGCAGCTAACACGTAGATATATCGAAGTAGAACCACATCATCTGTGATGGTTGCCAGCATAGGGCAGGGCTGTACATGGATGCGGTATACAAATGCGAGGCGTCTTGTTCTGGGATCAGGATGGCGAGGAGAGCAAGCGCTGGATGACCTTGTCAGGGTCGTTGTCGTGGATGGCTAGCAGCTCGGGGACGTTTGGCGATGTGAAGCCCATCTCGTGGAGGATGTTGTAGGATTTCACGAACTCTTTCACCTGGGCACAAGATAAGACGGTTCGTACTTGTCAGTTTGATATTATTTATTCAAACACTGTACCCCACTTATGAGCAATTACCAAACAGCAAAATGTTCTTTTCTGCACAAAAAATTGGCAAGTTGTAGAAGGAATGCATTTTTTTTCTCATTCCTACAAAAACTCTTCAGAAAAAAGACCTTGCTTCTATGTTCAGCGTTCATTATTTTCATAGTGTAAATTTGCTAAATTGCGAACCAGGAATTGTCTCAGCTTAACTGATGTACATGTCAAAAACATGCTAAGCATATTAAGTGAACTAGTGAAGTGATCAGTACTGGATGTACATAGTTATGTTATCGGCATTGAAGAAACTTTAGCTATTAGAAAGCCATTTTTTCATGATTAAGTGGTGCTGAAAGCAGTATTAAAGAAAATACAACAAGGGGGAAAGAGCATACCTTCGTTGGATTATCTCCATAATTCAACACCGCAAATGAGACAGCTTCACGCCCAAGCCCCATTGAGACGTACCTGTCGACAACTGGATCCCCTGAAGATGCTGGTCTAGCCTGCAAAATGAAACTGGGAACGTCAGTAATTCTATCAATAGAATTTGTCTCCAACATCTGGCTGGCATGCACCACGCATCATGTTAAACGGACGAAGGGTAGTGAGGAACCTAAAATGAATCGCAAGGTTGGACTATTCAAATTACACAAAGTGATCAAAAGCCCTTCTGAGAAGAGAAATTCAAGTCTTTCAACAGGTTCAGCAATGTCATTTGCAGTATTGATTTATTATTGCTTCAATAATCAAGTTCGAAAATACTTCTAGTCTTTCAACTAACGCACATTATACAGCAAACCAGACATCATCAAAAATTGACAATGAGGAAAAACAGTACGAGCGCCAGGAAACTAAGGAATACCCCTGAAAATCAAAATCTTCCTATGGTTGGCTTTTCAGGACAGATTGCAGACTGGTACTGAGCTAAAACAAAAGAAGTGGAAGGGGTGCAGCAATTCTGTTCTTTGTGGAAACCTACGAATGTCAACCATGTTCTTTTCCAGTGTGTCTTGGCAAACTTCATATGGTACTGCATCAAAGAATCATTGGCGTGGGATAGGGTGCCATCTAACATGAAGGGGTTTCACGAGTCCTGGCTGCCTTTGTCAGTCAGTTGCTACTTGCCACAATTATAAGCCTTTTCTTTACACAATCATTGCTTGGGTCTCTGGACTGTTAGAAATAAAATGGCAATTGAGCATAAATTCCCCAAATCCCCCTGAGAGTCCATACAAACTTTTGTTATTTTTGCAGAAATGGCAAGTTCTGCCAAGACCGAAGGACAGCTCTAGGATGGATGGGCAGGCTGAGCAAGTCAAGACTTGGGTGGCAACATTCCATTTGCTGAACCATATTATATCTTTTGAAGATACCTTGAAGTAGTTGATGTTTAGATTTGTGTTCTGGTGTGTAAAGAGGTGGTTTTGCTGCTCATGTTTTGAGCACTGCTGTTCTCTTTTGTAAGCTGGTAGCCCCATCATGATTGCATTGTACGGCCTCTTGTATGCTTTCTATAAAAGCTGGGAAAACCTTTATAAAAAAATGGTGCGAGGGCAAAATTACTATAGCAGTGGGTACAAGTCACGCTAGGAAAGCTTGCAATTAAGCCAACATCAATAACAAAAAATAAGTCTATAAACAACTTAAGACCCTTTTCCCACGCTAGGAACTTGTAGAAACATTAGCTAATGGTAGCCGTGTAATGGTTAATGATATTAATAGACTTGTGAAAGAAAGAAAGAAAGAAAGAAAGAAAGAAATAGCAGGATCTATGTATCTTGCCTGCTGTGCCACAGGAGGTGGTGCCTGTCTTTCTACCACGAATTTAGTCCAGTTGGGGTTCTCCTTCTCTGCCTCAGCAAGAATCCTTCTCTCATACTCAAAATCAAAGTTGAAGGTGCTGCGAGGAATTTCTACCATCTGTGGTGGCAATTGAGGCTGAAAAGATAACACTAATTAGAAGATAATGAATTCCCTACTTACAACAGGTGGATGAGTTAAGCTTGAATAGCACACACTTAATGCCACTTAACCACAGAGTATCTCAATAACGATAAAATGTAAACGGAATTGAAGAATGGTAGAGTGCATTTCTAGGAACACAATAAACACTAGACAGGCCCTACATACAGTACGACACTTTGACAGACCCACATATAGTATGAATTGCATTCTCATACATTTCAAATCAGTTGACTGCAAACTATAACACCAAGGTTATATACAACCAATAAATAGCACAGCTGCTGAACAATTACCAGAAGCCATCGGCAAATTTTCTAGAGAACAGAATTACTAGCACAGATCTTAGTTCCATGTATTGTTTAGACACAATTTCATCCCAAGCTGTCCACTCATCATGGAATAAGCTGCACTAGGTAGATCTACAACAGGCTGCGAGAAAAGGGTTATTGTCCATTGAGAATTAGATAAACCTGTAAGATTTGTTAATGGTTCGTCACTCGGCGGTTAAACTTGACTAACAACAGATAAAGCAAATTTGCCTTCCATAGACTGCCCCATATGAAACCAAAAACTATTTAAAAAAATCATCTCCTGTTGGATTTAGTTATCAGCAGTTTAAAATTTTCATATTTACACACACACATATATATATATATATATATATATATATATTTCAAAATGACATGAATTAACAGCGTACCAACATTTGTCTAACAGCTAGGCAAGAGTGTAATCTCACTGACGTAACACTTCTGTATCTAACAGCAGATTAGTAGCTCCTGACAAGACAAGACAAAATGTACTTCAATATTAAATTAAATTACTCACAGGTGGGGCAATGCGGAATTCAGGCTTTATCGTAACTTGTATGCCCACCTCTGTGCAATAAGAATACAATACTATTAGAATACAAGCTGCAGTTGACAGAAGCAAAACAGAAAACACTAGAAAAGCAGTTTGCTGTCTCTTTTGTTTTTGGCATGATGGAAGCAGCAAAACAAACAAAGAAACACGATTAATGCATTACCAACTGGTTTGCAGTGTTCAGTAATTACAAAATTAAAATACATCCATACGCCTAGGAAAGTCTAGCGTCTTATCAACTTCCATTATGTTGACAAGAGGATGGGTAATAAACATTTACTCAACTATTTCATAAGCATTTGACATCTAGCACTGTTGTGTTCCTTGCCAAGTGTATGTGCGCGCGCGCGCACACACACAAACCCTATCCTTAAAGCACCTTGATTTGTGCATAACCATTTCATGTCTTAGTCCGCAACTTAGTTGCACCAAAAACACCCGACCAAGCCCTGTCGCAAGACATTCAAGGTGCAACTAAATTTAGGGGTAGCTTGTATCATTCGAATCTGCTGCCATTTCTACTACACAGCATGCCCTAGAGGAGTAACAGAGCTTGCGTCGACTTGCAGGCAATTAACAGATGAACAAAGGCAAGTGCTGCGATTGGCCAGTGTAAAGGTGGATTTAGTAAGTTTCCTCATCGTGATACCAACAATTAGAACCCGAACCAAAAAGAGATCTACTTACCTAACAGCCACCAAAAAAAACATCCAATTAAGCCGACAGTCGATTCACCATACTACATTCGATCCAGTACATAGCGAGCAGTTGTTCGCTCCGGGACCAAGCCCAACCAACCGTGAATTAATCGGATATTATGATACCATATGAGTACCAAGCGGCAAAGGGAGAGAATTACTCGAGGAGGAGGAGGAGGTTGGAGCGAGCGGCGTTACGACGGGAGCCGAGGACCCGGACCCGGAGCCGTGGTGGTACGGCGCGGCCCGCGGCGACGCCGTGGATGCTCCGCCCCCGCCGTGGGAGGGCTGCCCGACGCGCGGGTAGAGCGAGGAGCCTCCCCCGGGCGCGGCCCCCGGAGGCGCGCCGTAGGGGCCCGAGCCCGAGCCCGAACGGCTCCCCCGGAAGTCGTACTCCATCGGCGCCGCGAGCGCTGTCCGCGCGGGGGTGGAGTGGGTCGCTGGAGGTGGAGAGCGAGCGGGGTCGGA